ACCTGGTTCCCGAGCTCGATCCACAAGAAGACGGCGAGCAGATGCTAGATACCTTATAATTTTCTTTATTTTTTTTTAATTCTCGTATTTCTTTTAGAGAACTTATTCTGTGATATTGTTTATTACTTTTAAGTTATTGTGTAAGGGATATTAACTTTAATATTTTATTTCGCTTTCGCACTCAGATTATTATTATATATATTTCCTTTTGAATTTCTGAGGCTGTTACAGCTAGTCCCCCGCCGGAGAAGAAGAGCCAGTCACCGGAGAAGGTAGCCGACCGCCACCCACCGCCGCACCGAAGCCACCTCCGACCATGAAAAAAAGTAAAAAAAATTTTATTCGCTCAAAATTTGATTTTGAACACCTCCATAGTCAAATCGGAGCAAAATTATCGGTGGATGAGCTGAAAACCGCAGGTAAAACCCGGCAGCGCCACCACATAAAAAATAAAAAATCGCCTCCCATGAGCCCCTTCCCGATTCCCGTTTTATGTGATTTTTCCACTATTATAATCATCATTCTGTTTTCTACAGGTTGAATAAAGAAAAATACATAACCGTGAAGGTGAGCTGGCAGAGCCGCCGCACCGAAAAATCCTTGTGACTTTTTATTTTTCGACTTTTTTCGACCAACCAAGTCTCCTTAATGTATTTTCTTACAGGGATGAGTATAAAACTGGCCGAAAATGGTCAGTTCGAGATAAACCACCATAGCGTGTGATGGTGCCGTGGCTGGAGCACAGCGGCATCGCCGTGCCAGAATTCTGAAATTGGCCAGAAAAGATTTTTAACACTGATTTTGGGATTTTTTGGGTATTTTTAGGTACTTAAAGCGTGTTTTAACCTCCGAAGAAAAATTCAGAAAACTCGAAAACTGCTAGTAAGCGCAGCTGAAAGTATAGTGTTTTGAATACCGATTTGAGTAAGAATCTCTCACCTTATTCGCTGTTATGGAATTGAAGTTTACTTATAAATAATACGATATTTTGCATAATTTAAAAAACTTCGATAATCAATTACAAGTTACTAATGGAGTCGGAATCGATTATTATTTACTGTTTGTCCTGTTTTAACTGATTGATTGATTTTACAGTTTTAAATGCATAATAATACACTGGAGTTAGTAAGATGATTCAGTTGTATTTCCTTGACGCATGTATTGCTTATTTTGCATGATTTATAGTTAAATTGTGAAACTGAAAATTAAATGTAAATAAAAAATTACTTGATTAAGTGAATGAATAAATGATAGCCTTACTGGATATCCTGGGAGATGGTAGACTTAGGGAACCCTACTGTGAACGTTGCTTCATACCGGACGGAGTATCGAGAATTGGTATATAGGCGCTCATACCGGACGAGGTATGTGGATGTAACGCCTCGTTTTTTTTCAACAGCATTCGATCAACAATATTATGACCCAACACGCCAAACTCATACCAGTAGCATTCCCCATAAGTAAAACTGGTCCACAATTCATTATTGTAACTCAAGGTAAACTGTAGTTCTACCTATACATCAATGACACCCCATACCATACCCTTCTAGCAAGTCAACATCCATACGAATATAAACTTTTACAGGCGGTAACCCGCCACAAGGAGACCCTGGCCCGATGGCGCTAAAGACTAGGCTCCGTACCCAGCAACTCAGATTCCGGCTCCATCCCTACTTCATCTGAAAAACGACAAAAAGTGAGTTCACATAACTCAATACGATAAAAACCAAGTTGCAGGTATAATATGCAGTGACAAGACAGTTAGTATATCTATATGCATTTCTCTTACACTACCCAAGTCATGCTTTCGAACTACCCTACAACTAACCGTTATTTACCTACCCCGAAAGACCAGCTATTCAATAACATATACAACAACAGCAACTCCAGTACCCCCATAAGTACCCTGTCCATACCATCTACCTCCTGCCTCAACCCTACCCTAGTATAACACCAGCCCCCTACCCTGGTAGACTATTCGGGTGCCTATCCCACGTGACTCCCCAGCCGAAGTCACCCTAAGCGCCCCTGTTCACATTCATCACCAATATCAACTACTCGTGCGCCCTTCTCTCCTACTCCACCCTAATAGGCCACCCACGCACACACACCACCATCTCGTGTCACCAACAGCGGCAGCTCATATCCACCACCTCGACCCCAATAGGCCACACACAGACACGAAGACTATTACCACACGTCACCAACATCGGCGACTCATACTCACATCTCTACCTCTCGACCCCATTGGCCACTCACACACACAATACCATTCTCGTGCGTCACCAACATCGGCGACTCATGCTCACACCTCCACACCTTGACCCCAATAAGCCACGCACACACACAATCCGTTCACACCTCGACCCCAATAGACCACGCACACACCCAATCCGTCCACACCTTGACCCCAGTAGGCCACACACACACACAATCCGTTCTCGCACGTCACCAACATCGGTGACTCATGCCCACTACCCCATACCTCGACCACAATAGGCCACGCACACACACCATCCGTCCACACCTCGACCTCAATAGGACACGCACACACACAATCCGTCCACACCTCGACCTCAATAGGCCACATACACACACAATCCATTCTCGCACGTCACCAACATCAGTGACTCATGCTCACTACACTACCTCTCGACCTTATTAGGCCACATGCACACCAAGACTTCCCGCACACACCGGCGATGTTCCCTCGCCAACCTTTAAATTTATAGTAACTATACCAAACCTTCTCCCCTCACCACACTCTCGTTATACCCCTACCAACGCGTCCCTACTCTCTCGCCCTAAACCATACTCTATAGTCCCCTCCTATGCCATCCCAATCTCCAGAAAATACGTCCTTATCCCTCGCTAAACCGACCTCTCCCTACGGTTCCATAAGCCTCTTCCCTCATTCGAAACTTTTCATACATGTCAATTTCTATTCCATAGTCCCCTCCCTCTCACAGTGCGAACTCACACCGTCCCACTCACTACGCACGTCCCTCTCACCGTCGCACAATCCGAACTCACACTGTCACACTCCCCACACTTACCCCTCTCACCGGACACTCACCGAATTCGTTCCTCCTGCTCATTCTGCTCGCGACTCTCTCCGCACCCCCGCTCCTGCACACGACTCCCTTCGTCATCTCGTATTTCCCCATACACGCCAAACTGCTCACTCCCTCTTCCTCTCAGTGACCTTCCTTCGGTGCTCACACTCACCGCACACAACCTTCTCTCTCTCTCATAGATCTCCCGTACGCCCCAATGACGCCATCCTCTCCTTCTCACGACCTCCTCCGCGAACGTCTCCGCCATTCCGTCCTACACTCCACCTCTCAGCTCCGCCCAGCTACCTACGGACTCCCTGGCCTCGATAACCCGCAAATAGCATCATAACTCACCCAATACCTACACAACCAAAGTTTTTACCGTACATTCCATTTCCACTTTCCTTTTTCTTGCCGATCGCACCGTTCGTCGTTCGCGGCTCTCTTCACTCTCCCTTCTCGCTCCTCTCTGCTCCGACTCCCCTCTCTCTCTTCTGGAACCTTCTTCCCTCTCTGCCTTCCTCCTTCCCACTCTCCTCCTTCCCTGCTTTTCTCTTTTCTTTTTTTTTCCTCTCTCCCCTTTCCTTCCCGACCCCCATTCATATCCTACCAACTTACCCAAAACGACATCGTTTTCCCCTTCCCAAAACGACGTCGTTCTCCCCCTCCCAAAATAATATCGTTTTCCCCTCTTCAAAACGGCGTCGTTTCTTCAAACAAATTTTTTTTTCTTTTTCCCTTTTTCAGTCATTACAGTGGACAACCCGTTTTACCCTCATACTGGACGGGATATTGAGGGATGATATTTTTGGCGCTCAAACCGGACGTGGTATGGGGATGACCCATTTCACTCTCATACCGAACATGACGCTCATACCATACGGGGTATTGGGATGGCCGGTTAGTTGACAATGTTGAATAAGAGTTCGCGCGTAGTGGAGACATTCCTATGTACCTCCATAGATACCAGTAGGTAGATAAAAAGAAAAAGTTGTTGTTCTAACTAATTAAAAATGAGATTATGATATTATTTCTGTTATTGACTCTATAGGTCGATTTTAGAAACCTTGCTACGGTAAGTATGCAATAAATGATTTTATTTATGATAAACGAATTTGCTTAAAATAAGAGCTCAATTAGTTATTTTTATGATTTTTAACAAACTTCATTTCTGTATGGTAAGTAGTGTGACATTCTTGTTAGGTTAGTGTAGCTCACTCTTTCATTAACCATTTCAAATCACGAGAACCAAAATCCAGATCCCGATCTACAAGAAGGTTGTAAATAGAATGCCCAGTTGTTTATTTTTTATTTATTTTTTTGATTTTTCATGTATTTTTTTAGAATAGTCATTCCAATATCCCTATTGTGTATTTTAAATTGTTATGTAAGAAATGTAAGTCCTAATTTTATTATTTCACTTCCGCATTCAATTTATAATTTATTTTCTTTTAAGATCTGGGTCGTTTTACAAGAAGTTGTAAAGTTGAATTAAATTATTTTTTTATGTATGTCATTTTTAAAAGTTATTTGTATTATATTATGGTTAGTTTATGTATATTACCTAATTGATGAATATTTTTATTAAATAAATTGTAATTGCACTCAAAATTCATAAACACACTTATAATTTATTTTATATATATATATATATAAACGTGTGTGGGTGTATGTATTGTTGGAGAAAAGAAGAACTGGGTTATTAAAGACAATGACTTATACCCAAACAGGATTAAAGTAAGAGTTTTAGTAGACTAGGGTATTCAGTTTTTAGAAGCAAAGACCAAGTAAACAAAACAAACCCTTTAATTTGTTTAACTATAATTGACAGATATTACTTTATTTTTTTTATAAACTTTTCCAATTCCTTTCTACTTTCTCTTATTCCTTTTACTCTCATATATATATATATATATATGTAAATGAATATGACGATGATCATCAACAAACCCATGTAGTATGTTAGAGCAATTAGAAGTTCAAATAGAGAATTAGGAGATGGTGGAGAAATGGAAAAGAGGGTTGATTTTGATAGTTGTTTGTGTGATTTTGCAGAAGGGAGATGGACAATTAGCAGAAAATTTCTATGGTGTCACTTGTTCAAACGTGGAATCCATTGTTAAGCAAGCTGTGCTTAACAAGTTTAGTCAGACTTTCACCACTGTCCCAGCTACTCTGCGCCTGTTTTTCCATGACTGCTTCATTGAGGTATACATACACGCATTCAAATACATGTATATACACATTTTTATAAAATTTTACATTGATGGTTTCTTTTGTTCTTTTTGGCTTCTGGGTGTTTTTTCTTTTTAATCGTCAAATTTGTTGATCTTTTTGAAGGGATGTGATGCGTCAATTTTGATTTCATCGCGAAACGGGGATGCAGAGAAGGATGCTCCGGACAATCTTTCACTTGCTGGAGATGGATTTGATACGATAATAAAGGCGAAGCAAGCAGTCGAAGCACAATGTCCTGGTGTTGTCTCATGTGCTGATATCTTAGCACTTGCTGCTAGAGAAGTTGTTGGCCTAGTAAGTCACATTTTAAATCATGATCTCGAAATTGAATAATCAAGCATTTAGCTCGCATGAGAACGTGGAAATGGCCTGATCATTACTCTTTTGTGAATTAAATTTTCAATTCTTTCTATGTTTATGCATATATGGATCAAAATTTTCAGGCAGGAGGTCCTTCATATAGCGTAGAGCTAGGACGTCGTGATGGTTTAATATCTCAAGCGTCAAGGGTACGAGGAGCTTTGCCAGAGCCTGACTTCAATCTTATACAGCTTACTGAAATTTTTGCAAGGAATAACCTGAGCCAGCTTGACATGATTGCGTTATCAGGAGCTCATACTGTTGGATTCTCTCATTGTAGTCGCTTTGCAAATCGACTCTACTCTTTCTCTGCATCAAATCCTGTTGATCCTTCTCTGAATCCGGACTATATGAAGCAACTGATGGCTGCCTGCCCTCGGAATGTAGACCCAAATATAGCCATTGACATGGACCCTGAAACTCCAAGAACTTTTGACAATGTATATTACAAGAATCTGGTTGCAGGGAAGGGCATGTTTACTTCTGATCAGGTGCTGTTCACTGATTCGTCAACACAGCCAATTGTCAAGGATTTCGCCAACGGTGATTTTAGCGGAGCTTTTGTCACTGCAATGACAAAGCTGGGCAGGATTGGAGTGAAGACTGGTACTGAAGGGGAAATAAGAAAAGACTGCACTGCTTTTAACTCATGAAGAAGAAAGAGAATCTTGTTAGAAAATAATACAGAGCATAGTGATTAAGAAAGATTTGAATTTGGTCATGAAATAAATGTTATGCAGAAGATTTCTATGTATATTTTATAATTTTAGATGAATATTGTTAATTATTTATGTATTTATCATAATTTTTATAAAGAATTGAACTATGATTTTCATTTATATCAGAATTTTAAATGACTGAATCTGAAAGAAATTTCCATAAAAGGATTTCCTTTTTCTTTTCCCAAGTTTCCTGCTAAACAAGATTAGCCTCTGAAAGAAATTCCCATAAAGTCATAATCTCAAAGGGACATGTTATACACATGTATACATATAGCAATCATTTCTAGAGGGATATTATCATCTTATCCTTGTTAATCACAGAAATCACAACTGGGTTCTTGATAAGGTCAACAGTCACAGAAAGCTTCAACCGAGTTTAGAAGAGAAGAACACAAAGAAGAATTTACAGTAATCTTCTAAAAAAATCACCCTGATTGATTGTCCGAGGAAAATGTTGAGAATATACATCAATTGAACAATTAAAAGCAGAATCTTCCATAACTAGTACCTAACCAACAATGGCAAGTAAAGAACAAACAAGACAGGCTTTGTGGTTTCTTGAAAAATAAATTGTAACATATACTCATCCCCATCCTCCTTACAAATACATATAATGACGAATCTGAGACCATAAGACACATCATAGTAGTTCGATTTTACGTATACACCACCATAAAAATGGGTGAGATGGCATATTCATAGAATGAACGAAAACTCGATTTTCAGCCATCAACTGCGTGGTTTTCCATACAAGTTGGAGTAGACAATCTTAGTGCGATGTACAAGGATCAAGCTTAAGACAAGGGCAATAATGCAAAATCCGGACATAATGATCGAAGTTAAGAAGAAACATACTGCTCCTTCACACTTAGGCGGTTCATCCAGAGCAGGCGGGGATGAGAAGATTGAGCCTGAGTAGTGGAAGACATGGTGGCGATGGTGATCTTGCTTCTCAGCTTCTCGGTCATATATACTACTTGCGATCAGACCTGAGAAGACAAGGGAGCCTGCAGGGTTTGCCAGTGTGAGAAAATTGTATAAAGCTCCGAATTTTTTCAGGCCAAATAACTCGGAAGCAGTAGCTGGCACAATTGCCCAGTGAGCACCATAGCCGAGCCCAATCATTAGAGTGCCAATGTACATTGCTCCAGGCCATCCGAAAGCATAGAAGATATGTCCAATAGCCATAATGAATTGGGCAACAGCCATTGCAATTGGCCTTGGATAAGCATAGTCTCTGATATAAAAAGAAACATATAAGAAAAGTTTATCAAAAATCAAAATAGAGGATTTAATCAGCATCGAGAACATACAAGATCAGGTTTACCTTATTATGATCTCCGAGAAGTACCCTCCACCAATTCGGCCGAGGAAGTTCCAAATGCTAAACATGGATACAAATACATGTGTATTATCATACCCTAGAGACTGGCTCATCTGACCTAGATTATCAATCACTGTTAACCCAGATCCGGAACCCAATAGAAGTGAAACAAAGATAAGCCAAAAATCAGCCTTGATCAAAGCCTGCATCAATGTAAAATCTTCCCCTCTATGTGGACCTCGTCTCCTCTTGACCCTCACTGCACCTTCTGCAGCTGCTTGGAATAGTTTTGCTTGCAACTGAGCAATTCGTTTCTGCCTCTCTGATGCTGGAAGCAAGTCTACTTCCTTAAGTTTCTCGTCCTCGAGCTCACTTAATATCACCTCATGGCCATCTGGTTCTGACTTGCCTGCTTCTTCTTTTTGTTCCTTGGGCAGAAGAGGTTCTTCTGATGCATCTATTGGGTCCAAGAAAAAACTCAACGAGAGAGGAATCACAATGGGAATTATTAGGAGGATGAATAAAATAACTGTGAAAATTATGATCACTTTGTGGCTCAACTCAACTAGATCTTCGACAAGCATAACCCCCATCAGGTAAGCAGCCAACAGAAGGCACACGCTATAAACAAAAGTAAAGCTTGTTCCGTCTGAAGGCCGGATTTGTCTGTGACCTCCAACTGGTCTTATAATGAACATTAGACCAATAACTACCATTGTTGGCCCAACTGCAACCATGAATATAAGAGATGCATGATCAGGGGAATGGATCATGGCATATATCTGAGTCAAAATTGCCCCTCCTAGCCCAGCAAAGCCCTTCAATATTCCCACAACAGGACCTCGGCTTTTCGGAAAGTTTTGAACGCAAGAAACTAAAGCAGCAGTATTGAAGTAGGTTTCACCATTATTTCCCACAAATATAAGAATGCACATCTGCATACTGATACGAGTTAATAATTTAACCATTTCAAGATTGCATAATGGATAAAATTTTCCGTCATATCAATTAAACAGTAAACGATCCAAAACTAACTAAATACATCTGAAAGATAAAGAAACCTATAAACCTATTCATTTTTTCTTTAATCAAATTCCCCAATCTGGATATACCTTATAAAAATTCAACTACCACCTTATCCATTCTACCAGACAAATCTCCAACTGACGTTACTGATTCGGTTCTGACTAAATAAATGAGAATCACACATACCATTCTTCATCTTCAGACATTAAAACATCAACAACTCCAAACTTGATCACCATGAGGAAATTTCCCCGGAAAGTATGAATCAAAATTTGATAATTCAGACAATTAGTACAGAAAATGCATAATTTAAATAGTAAAATCCAAATCCAACCTCACTCCAGATCCTGTTAAGGCCCATTCAAGTAGTTCAAGAACAACAATCTACCACATAAACAACATAAAAGCTTTTAAAAGTCTGATAGATCAACTTAATGCATTGAAAATAGAATCCACGACAATCCTGACATGGGAAAAGAAACCCATTTCTGTCAAGGCATTAAATGAGGAGAGTTTCCAATATTCACAAAGTAGATTCACAAAAGAAACGTGGCTGAAATGGAAAAAAACAAACTTTTAATAAGAACAACCTAAATTCAGAGCCAAACTCAGATCTTCCCACCTAATTTTTTTCAGAAAAAGATTAAAAAAGAGAACGTGAACGAAGAAAAAGAGGAAGAAAAATTCAAATACAGAGATGAAAACTAAAAGAGGGTTGAAGATGAAATCAATTATCTATTAAAAAATTCAATCCAACCACCATTAAGATGAGATTTAAGCTTTAAACCCAAAGAGATTAAAACACTTCAGGAAAATTCAACCACCCAAATCCTCAATTAACTCCAACCATTAAGGGAAAATTTAAATTCAATTCAACCTTTTTTTTTTTTGGAAATAAAATTCAAATTCAACAATACAGAGGAAAACTAAAAGAGGGTTGAAGATGAAATCAATTATCAATTAAAAAAATCAAACCAACCACCATTAAAATGAGATTTAATCTCTAAAAACCAAAGAGATCAAAACATAGAAGGAAAATTCAACCACCCAAATCCTCAAAATAACTCCAGTCATTGAAGGAAATTAAATTCAAAACCACAAACAGAAAACAAAATTGAAACGAGAGAATGAAAGATCAAAAGGCAATTAGTAAAAACCAAAAGCAATCTCGGATAATGATACTTACTGCCCACAAAGGCAAAACCGGAGCTCGACCAGTTACGACCAGCCAAACCCAACCATATCCAACAAAATTCTGAAAAGCTCCGACAAGCAAAGCACCCCATAGAGGCAAAACCTCGCATAAGCTCCCAGCCAAAAACCCGACACTGTCTCCGAGATCCTTAGCAACACCGAGCCTGGCAACCTGTTTCTGATTATAGTTCAATGAACTCTTAATCACCGGCGATATGCTGCCGAACAAGTAACCAACACCGGCGACGGACTGTATCCACATTGCCGCCACAAAAACCAGCCATCTATTGGTGATGAAAGCTCCTAACTTCTCTCGCAGACCCATCGCGATTATTCTGTGTTATACCCAGTGAGAAAAAGATAAAACAACCGATGATTATCTGTTCTTTGCTTAATTGCTTCGAGTTTATGGATTTTGCTTCTGATTATCAAAAAGAATTTTGAGAGAACAAATAGAAAAGGAAGAATTTAAATTGAAACAATTGATATTTTGGAGACGATCATTACAGTCTCTCTGCTCTAATGAGGAGCTTTTGGAATTTAAATTTAAAATAAAAAAGAAAAACAGAGAGAAAGAAGATAATAATGATGAGGTGTTTCTCTTCGCAGGTCAGCAATGGATCGTCGTCAACTCGTCGGCCGTATTTTATTTTCTCTTTTTTTTATATAAATTTATATTTTTAAAGGCCCAAAATTCCACGTGATAATTGATAAATTTTTTAGGGAACTTAATATTTATAAAATTATTAAATATGCATTTTTTACCTCTTAATTTTCAAAACATATGATTGATAAATTAAACATATATTTTTAAATTTTTAATTTAAACTTTTAAAAGAAAATAAATTAGGGTAATTAAAATGTAACACCCCAATCATTTTCTTTATTATTATTATTTTATTTTAATTTTTGTAATTATTATATGAATATAATGATTTATTATGTAATAATAAAGGATTTTAATTATTTTAATTTATTTAAATAGAAATAATAATAATAAAAATGGGTAAATTTATTTAGAGATTTAATTGAAAATAATTTTGAAAAAAAATGGGTAAAAATTTGGGTTCTGGAGGTATTTTTGAAAAGAAAACTAAAAATCGAAGGTCAAAACATAATTTAGAAAACTTGCGCCACGTCAGCAGCCTGGTCAGCAGCTCCGGCCAACCAGGACACACCGTGTGACAGAGACGTTGACACGGGAGGCCACGCAAAAGGGAGCCACGTGGGCGATCCGCGCGCGCGCGATCGAATGGCTGAGATTCATTCCCGCGCGCACGGAAGGCCCAGATTGTATCGCGATGAACGGCTCAAATTTATTTCTTATTTAATCGCGATTGGATGGTCCAGATTGAATCGCGATGGACGGCTCAGATTAAAAGCGGATGGTTATAAATAATCTCATCCGCACCCAAACTCTAACCCTAGCCGCCAGAGCCCCTCGCCGGATAAGATAGCCCAGCTGCCAGGGAGCCGACCGCCGCCACCCGCCGCCGCACTTGAGCAATTTTCAGCCGTCAAACGATATTAATCAAATGGTATCTGGTTTATTAATCAAATGGTATCTGGTTTATTTTATTCTATGGTTTTGAATGCATGAATCACTGCTTACTTCATTTTGGTATGATTTTGTGAATATAATGATATGTTTGCCTTGTTGGACGCTCGTTAATTGCTCTAGTATTCATGTTTATGTGGGAAACGGAAAACTAAGAAATAATAGGAAATGAGTGTGAATTGATAGATGAATAAGTTGACAGCCTCACTAGATATCTTTGGAGATGGTGGACGGACTGGGTCCATAGGGAACCCTACCGGGAATGTTGTCTCATACCGGACGGAGTATAGGGATGGCCCGCTTCACTCTCATACTGGACGAGGTATTGAGATTTATTGTTTGGCGCCCATACCGGACGGGGTATGGGGACAACCCTAAAAATTAAGTTCGTTAGAAGAATGGTTCACGTATAGTGAGGACCCCTATGAATCCCCATTGATACTAGTAGGCTGATAAAAAGTGGATAACTATTGTTGATGACTGAAAAATAAAAGTATGACATGTGCTATGTTACAAATTATATGTGAATTCATGATATCTATGATGTTATTGTTTCTATGGATCGTTTTTATAAATCTCACTGAGGTAAGTGGACGGTAAATGGTTTGATTATTGATAAATGAATTTATTCAAAATTTGTGCTCCATTGGTTATTTTTAGTTTTCTACCAACATTTACTTCTGTGATAATGATATAGTGTTATGTTTTTACTGAGTTAGTGTAGCTCATTACTTACTTAACCATTTCAAATCAGAAGGATCTGGTTTCCGAGTCCGATCCACAAGAAAACGACGAGTAGACGCCTAGATGTTTATTAGTTTCCTTATAATCTTTCATTTATAATATTTTTTTTAAAGAATTTATTTTTTGATATTGTTAGTACGTTTAAGTTATTATATAAGGAATATTAATCAAAACTTTTTATTTCGCTTCCGCACTCATATTCTTTATATACATTTACTTTTAAATTTATGAGACTGTTATATAAAATATTTTATGAAATTATTTTACATTTTTATTAAGTAATTAATAATATTAAGTTATAATTTTTTTCCGTATCAATTATAAATACTAATATTTTAAATAATTAAACAATAAATAGTCAATTCAAATTTTTAATAACTAATATTTCCGTCCCCATCCTTCCTTCATCCTAATTTTTTATAATAATTTATTGATATTATTTTTATATTATTATAAATAAATTTTTAAAATTACAACTTAGACATATGTAATATCTTGTAAAGGCGAAGGACTTGTTAGGAATTTTATGTTGACCGTTTCAACAGCTGCTGCCGTGACAAATGCCTGCCGTTGCTGTTCCTTGGATGATGATTTGATCATCTGGGCGCTTGCCACGTGGCATGCTCACTTGGATTTTATGATCGTGGAGATGATAGATACAAATGATTTCATCTTACATGCATGCATCTCTCATGCTCCAACAAACTAAAATACAAAACTGAAATGGAACCAAATTTACATATATATGTACATATGAAACAGATTTTTAAAGAAAAAATATTATAATAAAAAACATATACAGTATAAAGAATATTATAAGATAAAGTAGATTTCATCTTAACTCTAAACAAATATACTATTGTTAGAAATGTATATACATATAGTTTAATTTTACCATCGAAAACTAAATACCAAAAGAAAAAAAAAACAAATACTTAAATTTCATTTTAATACAAACAATATTTGTAAGGACTAGAAAGTAGAAAGAATAGAAAGAAAAATAATAATAATAATAATAATAATAATAAAAACGACGTCGTTTTAGAGAGTGGAAAAACGACGTCGTTTTGAAAGAAAGAAAAACGACGTCGTTTTGGGATGTAGGAAAACGATGTCGTTTTGGGGTAGGCTGGCAGAGTATAAAAGGAGGTCGGAAAAGGGAGAAGGAGAAAGAAAGGAGAAAAGAAAAAAAAAAGAAAGAAAAGGAAAAAGAGAAAAAGAGAAAAGGAGGGAAGGAGGACAGCGGAGACGAAGAAGAAGAGGAAAGTTCCAGAAGGAGAGAGGAGAGAGTCGGGGCGGAGGGGAGCGAGAAGGGAGAGGGAAGGAGGCCGTGGACGGACGACGCGACCGGCAGGAAGAAGGAGGATGGAAACGGGAGGTACGGTGAAAATTTGAGTTGTTTGGTGTGGTGTGTGTGTGTAGAGAAATTTGGTTGCAGGTTGCGGCGTCGGCAATGGCGCGACGGAGTGGAGCAGTGAAGGTAGGCCGTAAGCGTGGGGTTGTCCCGCGCGCTCACGGAGGTGATCGGGGAAGGAAGGGAAAGTATGGCGGTGTTGGGGGCGTGTGGGGGGGAGCCGTGGGGAAGGATGGGGGTGGTACGGGTAGAACAGAGTGAGGAGGATGTGAGAGAACAATCTAGGGGGCGCGGGTGGGATAAAAACTCGAGAGGACAGAAGAGGTGTGTGTGTGGTGTGTGCGTGGGTGGGGATGTGGAGGGAGCCGTTAATAGGCGGTGATGTGTTTCCCCGAAATGCACGGTGGTGAGGGCGTGTATGTGGCGTGAAACGGTGCAAGCTGAGAGGTTAATCGCCCTAGGTAGGCAAAAGTGTATAGGAACCGGGAGGAGGCAGGAGGATGGGGGAGGTAGTGGGTAGGGGGCAGTGGGAGAGGGAAGGGAGCTGGAAGGTACGGCAGAGGGGACTAGGAAGCAGGATTTGAGGGGGATTGGATGGGAGAAGAGGAGTAATGTGGTCAGTAGGAGTTAGTAAGTTAGAATGCTTGGGACTAGCATGGTATAAGGGGAGATGGGAGCATGCGGTTTGGGAGGGGAGATTTGGAGGCCGTTGGTAGGGGCGGGTTGAGTTGCCGATGTTGGTGGAGCAGGGAGGGGATATGTATGTGAGTGTGGCCTAGCAAGGCCGAGAGGGGTAGAAGGGTGCATGAGTCACGAATGGTGGTGACGGGAGGTGGAAATGTTTGTGTGTGTGCGTGGCCCAACGAGGTCGAGAGTTGGAGGAGTGAGTATGAGTCGCCGATGTTGGTGACGCGAGACGATGGTATTTGTGTGTGTGTGTGGCCTCTTTAGGTCGAGAGGTGGAGGAGTGAGTATGAGTCGCCGATGTTGGTGACGCGGAATAATGGTGTTTGTGTGTGTGCGTGGCCTATTAGGTCGAGAGGTGGAGATATGGGTATGAGTCGCCGATATTGGTGACGTGGAATGAAGGTGGTTGTGTGTGTGTGTGTGTGGGGCCTCGTGAGGTCGGGAGATGGGGGAAGAGTGTATGAGTCGCCGATGTTGGTGACGGGAGTTAATGGATGATTGTTGGGTGGGTGTGGTTGTTTGGCCGTGCTATTTCCTTGGAATAGGACCTTGATAATTAGTGTAGGGAGGGGGTTATGAGTTGTTTGGGGTTGGGTAGGATAAATGCATATAGACATTTCTAGAAATTCTTGTCACTGCATATTACACTTACAACTTGATTTTTATCGTATTGAGTTATGTAAACTCATTTTTCATCATTCACAGGTGGAGTAAGGACGGAATTGGGATCCGAGCAGCTGGTAACGGAGCCCCGTCGGTAGTGCCATAGGGCACAAGTTTTGTTTGTGATTTAAAGTAGTTTGAAAGGATGGTTTAGTCTGGATATTGAATATCTAGGAATGTTTGATATTGTATTACTATGTGTTGTAGAGGTGGAGATGTATGTACAATTGATTTGGAACATGGAAGGTGGATAAATTTCTCTTGTGCATGGTTGGAATAATATGGATTTCGGTATTGTGTTGTATGGGTGCTTTATCGTACACTGTTAAGAAAAAAAAAACGGGGTGTTACAACATTATATCGTTTTAATTAAATTAATTATATAAAAATTTAATTTATTATATTTTTAAAATAAATAAATATTTTATTACGGTTAATTTTTATTAATTTAAATAATTATAATAGATTAAAAATTAGATGTAATATTTTTTTATTTAAAAAATATAAACAAATTAGCTATGTTTTATTATTTTTTATTTGTCAAGTGACATGATCCAAAAGTACGTGTCATGTGATCCACTAGTAACAAATTAATTAGCTCCAATAACATATCGTGCAAACGTATATAAGTTGAAAAATAAATCAATCAATCAATTTTGTGAGAATTATTATAAGTAAAAATACTAGATTATTTTATGTGCTATTTTAGAATATTTAAATTACTCTTTATTTTATATAATTTTAGTCTTAATATTTTTAAACATTTTAATTTAATCCCTTTTTTTTAATAGGTACTAATATTGGAAGTAGTAAATTAAAACTAGTGTCTGCAAAAGTAGTTTTTATATTTTTAATTTTTATTAAAAATCAAATTATTTACGTGTCAAATTGTGCTCAAGTACAAATAATAAAATTATAATATGTGTTTAAATTGAATTCATATGATGTTTCTACTAACAGTGTTAATATACATTAATATATAAGTATTAAATGAGAAAAATCTTTAAAGCTCCAAGAAAAAAAAACAAAGTTGGAAAAGTACATGGGACAATTTTAAATATTTTAAATATTACAATTAGCAGTTTAATATTGTAGCATATATATATATATATATATATAGAGAATAAACAGACAAATGAAAATCACATGGCACTGCGGCAGACTGCCAAACTTGAGTAAGATTTGTGATGTGGATGCACGCAAAACAACATTTTATTTTTTCAAAACCAAATTTAAATGATTCTTTACTTATAAAATAACTATAGATACATACATAAAGAAAATTAATTGTAGATACAAAAAATATTCAATTTTGTTTTATTTAAAATATTATCTTATTTTATTTAAAATTATAGCATTCCAAATATGAGATTTAGATTTGAATTAATGTAATTTAATCTTTAAAATAGTAATATCATGGTAGGGTTTAAGTTTAGTTTTTTTTTTTTTTTAAGATATATGAATTTTGAACAAATTTGAAAATAATTTTAGAAAAAATGGCGTAACTGTAAATAAATAGGGGTGTATTCGAAAGAAAAGTTTAAAAATAGAGGTCAAATTGTAAAAAAAAGTGTGAATCACATAGGACGGCCACATCAGCAGCACAGCTAGTCAAAACGCGTCACGTGGAGGACACGCTGGCACGAGCTCCATACGAGCGATCCCCGTGCCAGGACGATCCAATAACCCGTGTTCACTCTTGCGTGCATGAACGGTCCAGATTAATTTACCGGATAAGCGCGATCGGACAACCTATGTGTCTTCGATCAAATAGTCCATATTTGTTTCCCTAATAAACGCGATCAGACGACTGAAGATGATCCACGCGGGCCCAGATGGATGGTCCAGATTGAGGAAAGGGATATTTAAGCATCTATTCTGACCGAAATCCTAACCATAGCCGAACACACCTCGTCTAAGAAAAACAAAAAGAACGGCTGATGGAGAAGCCCACCACTAAAAGATGTCGGCACCACCGCACCAAAGACCTAAAACGAGTCGGTGAGTATGATTTTTCTTCTTGTTCTTTCTATTTCTCCGTCTTTTAGTCGCCTAACACATTTTCGATGTAGAATAACCAAAAATAATCACAACCCGTGAGGAAGGAACAGTTGAGCTCGGCTAAGCCACCTCATTGAAAGGTCGAAACTGCTAATAAGCTTCAATTTTTGGGCAATTTCTCACGTATTTTTACGTTATTTCGACGTACGTTTCTATCCTAACAGAAAAATATAAGAAATTAAAGAATAGAAAATCATCGAGAACTGTAATGAAAAAGGCAGTGTTCTGGACACCGACTTAGGATAAGAATCTCTCACCCTTTTTTCCTATTACGGTCAAACTGAAGCCAAACTAATAATAAATGAAAATTTTAGATAATTGATAGTCCTTTGATTAATTAAGTACAGGTTACTAATGGAGCTAATAACCGGTGAGTTTATGCTTGTTTTGAGTTTTAATTGTATTAATTATTTCTCTAGTCGTTTATTATACTTATTTATTCACTGTTCTATTCACTCTAATTTGTTCGCTTTAAATCTATGGGTAACATGATAAAGTTCTTAATTTATGTTGTCATGTCGCTCTATTATGTGCATGATATGTTTCTGTCAGTATAATGCATATTTATTCCACTCATGAACTCTGAAATATGAACTTCGTACTCATGCGTTGCTTGGGATGCATATATACGTGCCTTTTAGAGCTTAGTAGTAAATAAAAAAAACAATATGCATGAATCAACGATGTTGAATTAAAAAGGGCTTACCACGTGTCTTGGAAAAGAGTGTACAGACTTGGTGCATAGGATGAACCCTACCGTAAACATTACCTTCAATTGTATAGGGCTAAGAAGTCTTATATCGAATGGAGTTGGGCATTATTTTAATCACCCTCATACCGGATGAGATATTGAGGCAGTTGTGTATTATGGCGCTCATTACCGGATAATGTATGGGGACGACTATTTAATTATAGGGAAAATGTTCGCGTCCTCGTATAGTAAGAATTCCTATGAACCCCCAGCGACACTCGTAGGAAAGGTAAAATAATAGAGATGAATATGATAAGGAATTCAATTTTGAAAAATAGCGTAGGGTCAATTACTATATGTCTTTAGAATACGTATTGTAAATTTTTATTATGATTCTTACTTTAATAAATAACATTTAAGAATTTACAGGTGAGTTAAGAAACTACAAATATTTTCAGTTAAACGAATAATGAATGCACTAGCATTCGAGTTCTATTAAGAAATAGCTCCATTAATTGTTGTGACACTCAGGTCCGAAATTTAGTCCGGAATGATTTTACATTAATAAAATAATACATTAAAATAATTTAATTTAATTTTTATTTATTTTATTAAATTTTTTGAGAAAATTAGATTTAGAGATGCAATTGAAAATAATTTTGAAAAAATAGATGAAACTGTGAATATGGAGGGTGCTTTTGAAAGAAAAATTTAAAACTTGGGTAAAATCACAAAAAGACGAAATACAGCCACATGAGACGGCCATGTCAGCAGCACAGCGAGTCAGAACGCACCGCATGGCTGACACACTAACACCGGCTCCACGTGAGAGCCACGCGGGCGATCCGCATGCCTGGGTGATCCGACAGCCTAGATCGTATTTTGTACACATGAATGGCCCAGTGCATTTCCTCTTCAGGTGCAATCGAGCGGTTAGATTCAATTCGATCATGAGGTCCATATTCATTCTCAGAAAAAGAGAGATCCAACGGACGAGAGAAGGTCACGTATCCCTGCACGGACGGCCCAGATCGACTCGAGAAGGGTATTTAAACTTTGCTTTCTAGGAAACCCTAACCTTAGTCGCACCAGTCCTCACCGGATAAAACAAAAAAAGGGTGGTCGAAAAGAAACCGACCACCATCGTCATCGTACCGGAGTCACCACTAATGCCAAAAAGGTAATTTTTTTTCTCCCTTCTCGTTCGAAATTTGATTCTAAACCTAGCCACACCCATATCAGAGTAGAAAGGGTAGTGGGTGAGCCGAAAAACACAAGCGTAGCTTGGCCAAACCGCAACCCGAAAATCCCTTCGATAACCTCCTTCATGTTTCTCGTTCCTCGTCATTTTCTGATAATTTTGTTCCTCATCCCTTTATGTGCAGGTTAGTCGAAGGAGAACCTTGACTGCACCCAGAGACCCTTCCACCAGTAGGGTTTTGGTTTTTGTTTTTTTCGACCAAAAGAGGCACCATAACTTCATTTTTTGCAGGTTTTCATGCAAAACTAGCCAAAATCAGCTAAAACTGGCTAAAAATGGCCAGGCTGAGAAGAACAGGTGCCCTGAGCGGCGGAGCTGACATCAGAGCACGACGGCAACAGCGCTGTGCCGGAACCCTAAATTGGTCGAAAAAATTTTAAAAAACCTATTTTGGCCTTTTGGGATATTTTTAAATACGTGATAGGTATTTTGAATTTTCACAGAAAAAACCAAGAAATCTGGGATCACCAGAAGACGCAGTAAAAAGTACGATATTTTGGACGTTCAATGTAAGAATCTCTCATCATTTTCTCCGTTATGGTAAATTAAAGCTTAATAATCAATAACATTGTGTTTTGTGAAAATTAGAAAAAAAATCTTTAAATTAATTACAGGTTACATCAATGGAGCCGGAACCGGTAAGTATATAATTACCCTACCTTATGCGTGTTGACTATTCATTTTCTTATACTGCCTAAATTGCTTATTATTACACCGTGCGCTTTAAATTGTAAATGTTAATTGCTTTCTTGTTTATTGATTGCATAACCATTATTTTTATCTATTAACTTATTTGAAATAAATACCCTAATTACGTTTCTTGATGGTTAAAGTATAAATTGTATTGTCTGTTTAAATGTCATTCTATTGATCTGTAATATAAAATGAGATGTTGGTATACGATTGATGATTGGTTGATGATGTGAATCTATATGTGTAAGGTTTACTAGGTACCCTAGAAAATGGTGGATGGATCCGGTATATA